TACATACTGCCTAAATGGGCCAACATCCCGGCCAGTCATGAGTGCGTCGACCAAAATAATGGATATGACGAGCAATATCATGAATCCTAAACCTAGAACTATGGGTTTACTGGGCAATATCATAAGTTATGCGCCCAAAACCATGAAGATCCCGGGAAGCATCGCAAATCACATACCTAAAGTTATGCGTTCACCGGGCAAAAACATGCGTTAACCTGGCAAAAACATGAACATACCGGGCATGAACATGAATGTGCCGAGCACTAATCCCAGATGCAGATTTCTAACATACGAATAATGCAAATTGCTACCTACCACGGAGAAAAATATGAGGGATAAAACGCTTACTTGGAAGTTAGGAAGGATCTACGGAGGCAGGGAAGAAAATCAACGACGGAAGGCACGGTGGTCCTACGAAATTCTGGAAAAACAGTGGCGGAATAGGCAGAGGAAGGAGGAGAAGCGCGATGAGGAAAAACAGATTATGGGACCCAAGAATCCTATTTATAGGGATGATGTGGAATACGAAACGTCACCCCGAGGAACCACGAACCTCCCCTCCTCGACATCTACTCCCCTAGGCAATGATGACTCTACTCTCACTAGGGCGGTGTCACGGTTCCTAAGGGTTGCCTCGTATACCCAATGAGCACAACCCGCAAAGAATCCCTCGAGCACGCCTCGAAAGGGATTATCTCACGAACGCAACACATGAGAAATTCCTCGAGCAACCACGGGGAAGCAAATATCCTGGCCGAGCATAAGGCCCCGTGACAAAGACGAGCAGAGATCAAGTCATAACTCCTGCTCCAGGAGCCACGACTTGGGGGGCTCCTGTTCTGGATTGGGCCCGTCCTGGCCCAAGAGCAAGAACGAAGGCCCAATCCAAGCAACTCTTCAAGAAGCGCGCGCCCGAAGATTCCTGTCAGCGTTCGACCAGAAGCTGCAGCCGTGCCCGCCGCTGCCCGCGAATGCGACGTCCTCGACCACATGAATCCAGCTCGAGCCCAGCTCGAACACCCTCCCCGTAGGGCAGACTATGATCGTTACTCCATCACCTGAACTCCGGAAAGACCGCGTCCTCATCCCTCCGTACTTCTCGCAGAGCATCACCAGGAAGGGGACCACGTGCGGGTCCCCACTACACACGTAGAACCTGACAGTTCCTTTATTGGGCCAGTTCTGATCGGCCCAATAAAGAGACCTTGACCCCGCGCTGGGGGCTATAAATACCCTTTATTCCTAGAGGGTCGGGTATTCATTCTTTTACCCATACACACACTTTTTACCTGCTCGTACCATCACTCACTTTAGCATCGGAGTGCCTTGCAGGTACCCTTCCATCTCGTTCAACTTTCGCTCGGAGCCAGTCGTGACGGTCCAAGTCTGATCCGGTAAGATCAAGAACCAAGAAGTTAAGTTGGAAATAATATTTTTATCATTTGATAAGTCTATATTACTCTCAATTGATTAACCAAGTGAGTCAACTAACTTTACGTTATTGCGACTATTATTAGACTCATTTATCTACAAAATATTTAATCAATAACACAATTTGTCAGAAACATTGCATATAAAATTAGATATTATTGGCTAACTAAGCATATGAATCCTATTACTTTTATGTATTTCCTATATAGGAAAAACTATGTTTTAAAGTTTATGATAAAACCATTATTTTAGAGTTTCAATGTTTTTGGCCTTGTTGTTTTTTATTTACCTCTCATTTTTTGTTTGTGGTGGAGTATATCCTTTGTGTTGGAGTGTATAATTATTTACATAAACTTGTAAGCACATAACTTGTAAGCACTATATAATCATATGGATATTATTAAGGAAAAAGTTACCATTCTTTGTTTCTCTTGTTGTCTTGTCTAGATGGTCGTGGTTACTTTAAGGAGTAAATTTTTTCTTGCAAAGAGTGGTCAAAATGCTAAGTACTAGTTATTAAAATTAAAGTAATTTTCACTTATCTCAGTCGTTAGGCATGAACTTAACTGAAAAGATAGAGATTCTCTTGTATTAGCTAAAAATTCAGATGGAGTCTATCATTGTTGAAAGGAGTTGTAATCTTTATATGGTGATGAGTTCCTTCCATCTTAACTGAAAGGATGGATGTGATTTTAATTTATGAAAGGTCGAGGTTCTCTCATCCTATATGAAAGTTTAGATGAGGTATGGACTTGTTGAAGGTCGAAGTAGTTTTTATAAGGTGTCAGGATTTTACTTGTCTAACTATACCCATTTAGTGAATTGATTGTATTCTTTGTAATGATTCATTCATCTTTGTTGTAGATGTAGGTGCTTAGTCGACCTATGTTCTCCAACTTTCCTAAAGCAGACTCAAAGAGTTAAAAAAAAAAAAAGTTTGTTAGGATTGATTATATTTTTTTGGGTGGTTGCCAATGAGTTTACAAAGAAATTTAGTTTTAATCAAAATTTAAAGATTATTCGTATTAAAAGAGAGTAACTAGAGTCATAGATATAGAATGAATGGCATGGAAAGTAGATTGTGTGCTTATCTTTTAGGTTTTAGATTTGTGGCATTTCCTTTTACCATTCTAGTAGTCTATTGTACATTTTACTATTAAATTTTGATTGAAAATGTGATCAATTGATTTGTTGTAGACTAATATCCTTTTTTGAGAATGAAATCCATCCATGTCCTCAGCTTATGCTATAAGAGGTTCATAATAGATAGGACAAGAGAAGCTTGGTTTATTACTATATGAAATTTATTAGACATCCCTTGGTGTCGTGGGCTAAATGATATATGACTCGCCAAATACTCCTAGGTGGCGCATTAAGTGTGTAATTTATTTTTTTTAATTTTTTTTAAGACTCGTGGTTTTTAATTAATTAAATATATTTTTTAAACAAAATTATAAATAAAAATACATCTTCATCATCTTCGTATTACTTTAATCATCTTTATATTACCTTCACCATTCTCGTACCATTTCAAATCTAAAAAAAAAACTTTCAAAATAAATAGAGTTAATAGTACTTTTACCCACAATCATATAGATTATTTTTATTATTTTCCCTATAAAAAATTGTAAAACCAATCTTAACACTTAAAATTTTTGTTGTTTTAAACTCTAAGAGAATATGAGTGGACAAAAATATCTATTGGCGCGTTGATTGAACTTTTTTTTTTTTTTAATTTCAATTATGCTGATGTGGATTTATTATTTTTTTATTTTTAATTATTTTAAATTTCATGTAGGGATTAAAAAATAAAAATATAAAGTTCAGTCAGCGCGCCAATAGATATTTATCTCCAATAAAATTCTTATAGAATTTAAAATAATCGAATTTTTAAGTAGTAAGATTGATTTCACAAAAAAAAAATTATAAAGGAAAAAGCAAAAATCATCTATATAATAAAGGGAAAAAGTGTTATTAATCAAATAAATATTAACCATCATATTTTAGTATTTTTAATGAGAAATACAGAATGTTAGAGAGAGAATTGAAATAATGTTGAAGACCCATCCAAACAAACCATTAAAAGTGGGTCTTTCGAACCATTCAGTGCTAAATTATTAGCCTAAACTAATCAAAAGCCAAATCACACAACCAAATATTTTATGGCAGTTTTTATCAAGGGTAATCAGAGGTAAATATAAACTCACAATTCACTAGCAATACCATGGCATAGCAGTAAAAAATGTAACATGTCATTTAACAATAAAAACCAACAAACCCTTAACAAAATATACCAGTAATAAGAACTTCAGTTACTAATTTAATTTAAAAACTGCAAAAACTTTACTGGCAAATATATACTGAAAAATCAAATTAACCAGAAAGTACCAGAAAAAGCTTCCACTTTTTATTTATCAAAAAAACTAAAGAAAAAATATAATTACAAATCACTAGCAAAATTTATATTGAACAACTAATACAATCAACAGCTTCATCCATGTATTCAACAAAAAAATCTAGCAAAAACTATATTTTCATATAACAAAAATATTAAATTTCAACCAACAAAAAAGAGGTGGGTAGCCAAACATGTTTTGATGATTGAAATACTGATCTAGAAACATGAATAGTAGACATTTACATGATTCAATTTTTCAAAAATAGAGGAAGTATAATTAAAAATAATTAAAAAGGGTTACAATGTCTAGAACAATGTGTAATAGACATTTTACAAGAAAAAGTTCTTTAAAAAAGAGGAAGTGTCACAAAACAAATTAAAAAGGGTTTCAATGCAACAGAATGGTGCTAAGCTTGAATCTTTCAAAAAAAGAGGAAAATGACAATATTTTCATGAAAGAAAATCTGTGCAAAATAACCGCAAAAACATATATCATTTCTTAACAACACATTACAGAAGAAATAAAGCTGAGACATCCTCAAACTGATATATGATAATAAAACTTTCAAGGATTGGTGCATCCATTCCTACACTATATTGATTCAGAAACAACCAAATCAAATTCCTACAAAGACTTAAGCAGTTTATACAATAATGATTAGGGCTTAAGTATACATCCTAATCAAATTACTTACTTCAAACACTCACACTATCATATATATTGGAAGTCAAATTGAATACCAAACAAAAATCCTTCAAACAGAAACAAACGTAAATTAACACACAATAAAAGGCAAATAACACTACAAAGTTTGCATTAGGCAAATCAAAAGATTTCACGCAGCTCAAATCATAACAACCATGGCTAAAATAATAACAATTCATATCAAACTTCAACACTTCTCAATAACAAACGAATGAATAAGACCCGTTGAGAATTTACCTGCAATCACGATTTATCCGCAGCAAATTCATGTCCATCAAAACAATCACAATTGAATACAACAGCAATAATCATAGAATATGATAAATAAGTTAATTAAAACTAACATAGTATATTAAAGCATTGATTCAGTCATGACAATAACAAAAATTGTTCACCCGAAATATCCAAAATGATAAACAAGAATTCTCAAAACTAAAACATGAAAATTAGAACAATAAACCAAAATCAAGCATCAGCTTTCTGATAAACATAGGTCAAACCACACTTGCCACAGTAATGACGATCAAAGTGATTAGCCATGAAAGTCCCCGCACCGCACTCTGCATTGGGGCACTCCTTCCTCAACCTCTGCACCTTCCCAGAATCATCAACCTTATAAAACTGCAGAACAGCAAGCTTCACCTTCCTATGCTTGTGCTTAATCTTCTTCGGCTTGGTGTACGTCTTCTTCTTGCGCTTCTTGGCGCCACCACGGAGACGGAGGACAAGGTGAAGAGTGGATTCCTTCTGGATGTTGTAGTCGGCGAGAGTGCGGCCGTCTTCGAGCTGTTTGCCGGCGAAGATGAGACGTTGCTGGTCCGGTGGTATCCCTTCTTTGTCCTGGATCTTGGCTTTGACATTGTCGATTGTGTCGGAGGATTCAACCTCGAGGGTGATGGTTTTTCCCGTTAGGGTTTTGACGAAGATCTGCATCTTCGAAGGGATTAGGGTTTGCGCCGGAGAGGGGAATTGGGTGAAACGAGAGTTTCAGTGTTTGTTTGACGAATTTATATTGGGGAATTAGGTTTGTGTTTGTTTGACGAATTTATATTGGGGAATTAGGTTTGGGTTTTGGGCTTGTTGGTTATTGGGCTTTTAGTAAGGTCTTCTATTGGAAGATTGCTTGTTGGAGATATTTACAATCAAAAGTTTACTTTAAGGGTTAAAGATAGAGGTGGCAAATAGGTATGTCCGTTCCGTTTAGCCTTCGTTTCATAAAAGTTGGTAAAAAATCAGATCGGAAAAAGACGGACATAATTGAGGATGAGGGCCTAAAATCTAGGTTTTCTCGCCAAAAAAAGTGAATGCGGGAAGGAGAAAACCCGCGGACACTACACTTTATAAATCTAAAAATGTAAAGTTCTATATTAATTCTCGTGCTCCTAAAAACCCGCTAAGAAAATAGAGTAGGGCGAAGCGGACACATTAGAGGATGAGGGCTTAATTTCTTAGTCCGTCTCGCACTAAAGTGTGTCCAAAACAGACGTATCCAATAGACCGGATCTATTTTACCACCCCTACTTAAAGATACACCACCCTTTTAACCTCTCACTCATATATATTTTAAATATTCTTAATCAAAATTCTTATTATTATTATGGCATATACTAAAAAAATTATAAATCAAAACTAGTCGTTTATCTGTACGATGCACGAAAATATTAATAAATTGATATTAATAATAAAATATACACAAAATTAATTTATAAATTTAATAGATGTATTTTATAAAATATTTGTCACTCTTTAGATTGAAAAATAAATGAAATAAAAGAGAAGGAAATAAATATAAAAAACAAAATAGAAATAATACACCACACATGTTTGATGTTAAGGCAAACGACATAGATTTAATATTGGTAGTGAAAGATTAGTGAAATTAATATATCAGTAGAGAAAAGGGAATATGCACTGACAGAGTAAAATAATTTTATACTGTCAACCAATCATAACTATGTTAAGTGGCAAGTCATATTGTTATTTTAAAATAAATTATATGACTTGATGAATTGATGGGTTTTCATTGGATGACACTGTAAAACTATTTTACATTGTAAGTGCACTACCTTTTAACTCATATTAGTAACACTTATTTTAAGTTTTAAAAGACTTGTTTGTAAACAACATTTAAAGTGGTAGTTGTGTCTTGACATTCATCGGTATATATTAATAACATTAAATTGTTCCTTGAAGTAACTCTTGAAATGACAATATATAATTGTCCATGTGAGAAAATAGATTATTTAAGATAAACTCCGACATACTTCAAAGATTACCTATGACTTTTATTAATAGTCATTGCAAATGAAATGACTAAAGGGAATTGACGTCGTTGAAAATTGAAAGAAATTCTTATATCAGAAAGTGTTAGTGACAACCTAGGTATATACACCCTATTATCAATATATCTTCATGATAGGGTCATTCTTTTAACCACATATTTTCCTATTTTTGTGATGATTAGTCGAGTTCCATATTGCACAATCCAAAAGATTTATCTATATTTCTCAATAACATTAGTGGTGCTCCAACCTCGAATTTCAACTCCTTATTTGGAAGGTCAGAAGCGCTAATTCCGTTTAAAAATTTAGATGTGTGTGCATTATTAGGTACATCTATATCTAGATTCATAGAGTATGAAATGTCAAAACTTAGATATATTTTAATTCACTGGGAATCAATGATAACACATACTCATTGATGTCATCGACAATTTCATTTTATTGGTCAAGTATAGCTCTATCTTGAAATAATGTTGGATCATTCATGTTATCCAAAAATGATGGATGAATGCTTTGAACAACAGATGAAATTGAATCAGTTAAACTTTTAATGAGTAAATCATATAAAATTTCAAGTGTAGTATAGTCATCGCTTTGTTCTTCATTTGCTCCATCACCAATCTATAATACCAAATCAAAAAACTCTTTTTATTTGTCTAACATCAACATCACTACTCCAAGTAAGTAGCCTCATATTTGTATGCAATGTTAGGACTTCACAATAATATCAAAGATATAAGGAGCTAACATGAATCACATCTTGTCTTGTTGTTTTAGGAATACATAATTTGTTTGAAGTTTCCTTCAAAACAACAATCTTTCCTCCAAAAGGAATATTTAAATTTTCATTATTATAAGAAGCAAAGAACGTCACTGAAAGTTCTATCAATAGCTTCAAAATAATGCTTATGGAGCATTGGTGCTTCAACCTATATAATGAGTTTTGTTTTTGCTATCAATTGTGTTAATTGGATATTTTGATCAATACCGCAAGTGGAATATTCATAAACGTCTAATGATATAGAAAATCTTAAATGGACTATCCGTCCTCCAGAAATAAGCAAAACATCAATTCCACTGTTGACACAATATCTCCTTAATTCGATCTTAATGTTGCTGACATAGCTCTCTAAATATACGTTTTTCCAGTACCACAACACTCATATAGAAAAAATATGCCTCAATATTCTTTGTTCAATAGTCATAGTTGACATCAATTAAATATGTTTTAGAGTCAAAAATTATCTATCATAAATAAGTCTATTTTAACTTTTAAAATAAAAGATTTGTCTCTTTGAGACAATGGGGAAAAATCACTCAAACTCCTATTATAATGTTATAATGAGCAGAATTCCTAAATTTACTTTGTAGCCATATAACAATGAGCGGTGTTTCAATTTTTCTTATAAAAATGACACTTTTATTTAATATCATTAATTAAAATAATTTTAAAAACAGTCTAAAATGGATTCTAAGAGCATCCACATCCATCATACCCATTTGGATTCTTTAAATGAGATCCACATAATTTTTTATATTATTTCACACTTCTCAATTTTTTAAACAATTCATCTATAATTCTCAAATATTCATCTAACTCATCAAAAAATCTAAAATGGATCCCATTATACTCCACAAAATCCACTCATATAACTATTTTCAACTGAAATGTAATATTTTAATATTAGTTATATAGAAAGAGAATGTAGAAGCGTTCCCACGTAAACTAACGCTTGCAAATGAAAGAACATTTTTTTCTCTCAAATACTCATTTTATTCTGACATTATAACTTAAAAAATTGTGTAGAAACGGCATATGTACCGATAATTATGCTCTAAACCTCGTGTCAAAAAAATTAAACAAATTCACCTCAAGTTTCCACAAATTATTGGCAATTACTTTTAAATATATAATTAGTTATATAACTAAAAACATATTAATATCTATATAATTAATTATATAACTAAAAACATATAAATATCATATGGTTTCATACCAAATATAAAAATAATAAAATGTTAAAATGCTAAAAATACTATATTATGCAATCAACGTTATTTAATACTTCCAATCTTCATATTTAAAATTTTTGAACGGTTTGATTCTTGGATATTTTTAGAATTATCTAGTGGAGAGTGTTTATTGTTAGGGAGGGTTACTAGGAACATTGATATAAATTTGAGAATTATGCACTTTTGTGACAGATACACCACTTATTCAATTACCTAAAATTTTAAAGTGATAGGTGAGTGGATTCTCCCACTTATATATGATCAAGTTTTCACATTCTTATTCACTTGCACTATTATTCTAACACTCTCCCTCAAGTGTGAGTCCACAATACTCTCCGACATACACAACAAGACAATTTTTCACATACACAACGAGACACCTCTTCTTGAACATTTCGATAAAAGTAGTCGGTCAATTTCTCGAACTATTTGTTGGAGGGTGATAAGTGAGTTGGTTCTCCCACTTATATATGATCAAGTCTCCGCATTCTTATCTAATGTAAGACTATTTCTCCACTTACTCACATTTGTATTATTATTCTAACATTTACATCCGACCATCTTTTTCCACTTGATTTGCTAGTAGAAGTTTCATAAGAGTTTGCTAGTGTAACATCTTCCTTGCTATTAGAATCAATCCTCTCAATTGAAGTCTCCATATAAGTAAAAAATTACATCATTAATCTATAATTTTGGTTTTAAAACATGTAATAAAATAAATGACTATAACTCAACTATACATTATACATGAATTACAATGCAAAGGAAAGATAATTTATTTTTAATGTGACAATTAAAAATATATAATTAAACCAACAAACTAACCTTAATATGCAGTTACGATAAATATTTTCATTGGCAACTTCACCTTTAAAAAACATGCCTATTGATCTTGTCGGCTTGAATGTTAGCAACGAAAGTAATTATATTGAACACTCAATTAATATTAGGTCATGAAAAATAAACTTATATTGAACACTCAATTGATATTAGGTCATGAAAAATAAACTGCAATATTGAGATGAAAATGAAGGAATGATAAGATGAAAAAAAAACTAATAAAATGTATTGATGAATCTGTATCTTCGTGGCTTTATTAGTGACATGAAAACCATTTTTTTTAACCAAAAGAAGAAGAGATATCAATAAATAAATAAAAAGGAAGACAAGATACACAAGGGGACCAAGTCAAGATCCCTTAATAACAAAGCCTAAGTTTAGGAGTATCTTCTTTGTCTAACACATAATCCTTAACAATATCTCTATGAATATGGTTGAACAAAGAAGTAGATTTACTAAGTAAACCAATATTAACAAGCAAATCTGCACAAAAATTGGCTTCTCTATAAATGTGGGTGATCATGAAATCAATTTTAATCGTATAAGCCCAACACATAATCCAACGAGACTTGATTCTCCAAGGAACTAAAAGATGATTTGAAAATGCATTCACAACAAGTATACAATCTGTTTCCAGCAATAAACTCGGCATCTTTAGGAGTTCAACTACCCAAAAAAGAGCAAAAACTGACCATGTGATTCGCTTCATAGTCTCTAAAGATTCCTCCACACGGAGTGGTCATAGGGGATCCAATAGCAACCCCATCGATGTTGCACTTTATCCAACCTTGAAGAGGAGGAATCCAAAGCACCTCCAAAGTAGTAATATTATTGTTTGGATTAATGTGAACGTCCAAACCTTTCAAGAAAGAGAAGCTCGCCATGGAAGAATTAGATTTCCTCTTTGAATAATTTCCCACCAATTTAGCTTGTGTAGCAACTACTTCCATACACGACTTCTAGAGAGTCTTTTTATCCTCGAAACGAAACTTGTTTCTAGCCTTCCAAATTTGGTAGAAAGTGCCCACAATACATGCAATAATTACTGCCTTAGCTTGATGAGACCAAGATTCAGCCAGAATCTTATTGCAGTCTAGGAAACTATTGATGGAGTAGTTCAGTTGTAGATTGTTTGCTAACCAAATCCATATATTTTTAGCAAATTGACAGTCAAAAAACAAATGATCATAAGTTTCAGCAGAGGCCAAACAAAGAGAGCATATAGAAGGGAAAGCAAAACCATGCAAAGTGAGATTTTCATCGGTTGGTATTTTATGGTGCAAGTATATCCACACAATCATAGAATGAGCAGGAGGAGAATCTTTATCCCAAGGGAAAGAAGACCAAGTCCCTAAAGGAGAAGGTTTCAAAATCAGATTGTAGGCTTGCTTGAAGCTTAGGCAACCATTGGCTGAACCTTTCCAAACAAGCTCATCAGCAACCTCCAAATCAGGGAGAGAAATATCTGCAATTGTTGGGAGCAGATTGGGGAAGGCAAGTTGAATATTTTGATTTATGTGCCAAGCATGATTTTCCCACCAGTCCCCAACTTTAGAAGTTAAAGCATAGTGAAATTTATCTAGAATTTTGAATTTAAAAGCTAATGGTTCTCCCACCCAATTGTCCAGCTAGAAATTCACACTTCTGCCATTCCCAATAATCCAGACACAGTTCTCCAACATTATGTAATAAGCTTCCCTAATACCACTCCATAAAGAATATTTAATAGAGTATTTGATAAGAGAGCAATTCCTCTTTACCCTACCAGAGAGAAGTTTGGACCATTGTTGAGAGCCATTGAGGAATTTCCAACTTAATTGCATATTGGTTGCAGAATTATAAGCTTTGAGGGATAAGATTCCCAGACCTCCTTCATTCAATCTTTTGCAGAAAGTCTTCCAAGCCATTATGACCAGCTTCTTCTTATCTATACTACCACTCCAAATGAAATTCCTGATCCATCTCTTAATTATTTTTATTATGCTAGTTGTCCAGTTGTAAATAGAGAGACAGTGGATCATCATACTGTGAATAACTGCTTTAACAAGTTGATTTCTACCAGCCATAGAGAGAAGTTTAGCTTTCCACGCTGCCAGCTTAAGCCTAATGATATCTGCAATATAAGAAAAATGGCAAGCCTTAGGTTTTCCCACAAAATATTGACACCAAGATACATAAAAGGAGGATTAGCTTTTGTAAATCCAAAAATCTCTGTCAGTCTGTCATGCCTACTAAGAGACATTTCTCCAGCATAGATTAGAGATTTAGAATTGTTACAGACTTGGCCAGAGCAGTTAGCATAATCTTTGAGGAGATTGGAAATAGCAATCAGAGATTTGTTGTTTCCTCTGCAAAAAATCATTGTGTCATCAGCAAAAAGAGTGTGAGAGGGAACCAAGCAAGTCCTATTAGCCCTAATAAGATTAATCTGATTGGAGTTAACAAGATTAGAAATACCCCTACTTAAAACATCTTCAACTATACAAAAAAGAAAGGGAGACAGAGGATCACCTTGTCTCACCACATTAGAACAATTGAAATACCCTAATTGTTTACCATTAAACCCAATAGAGAGAGTGGTTGATTTCAAAATAGTGTGAATCCAATTGCAAAATTTCTCTCTGAAACCAAAACTGGCCAGGGTTTTAAGAAGAAAGTCCCAACTAAGAGAATCAAAAGCCTAGGAAGATATCATATTATTTTTCCTCCTTATCTTAGCATAAGTGTGAAAAAAACCTAGTGTTTCTATCCCCCTGCAAGTGCTATTTAAGTCTGGTTTTTTCCTTCTAAAATTCCTCTTCCATGTTTAAAGCATTTTCTAAATCATGTTGAGCCTTGGTTTCCTTATCTTGTAAGCTATCAGAATAACCAAGGTGCTCAATCTTTGTTTGAATAACTTTCAGCTCATTCTCAGTAGAATTAACCTTGAGATGAATATCCCCAAACTTATTTTTGATTTGGGTATATAAAAGACTGTGGCTTTGTAGCTATAATAGCAATCTGGAAACTACTTTAAGAATATGGGTATGTCAAAAAGAACGTGGTTGTGTGGCTTTGAATGTGTATTAATGATTTAATTGGTGGTTTTGTGGCTTTGGAATATTGGAAAAGCTTTTTAATTAATTATACAATATAAATATAATAAAGTAAGATGAGTATTTTGGCACGTTGGACTCTTGACAAACTCTTAGTCTTTCTACTATATTGACATGTTGCTAAAAGAGAAAAGTTTTATTTAATAGAATAATTTCTATAATTAACAAGACTTATAATATTATTTAATTTTTGTTTTTTTTACTGTTTCTTTAAATTTATTAACCAAAACGATGCATTTCTAATCAATGATATTTTGTTTTCAAGATAATTTATTCATTTTATTTGAAATTATATAACTCAATATAACATTTCAGTCTCTTCTAACTTTTCATTTTTATTTGAATTCATTTTCCTCAAACACATCACCACAATAATCCAAAATTATTTTTCTTCATCTTCTTCGTTCACTCTGATTCTCACTTCGAAGGCTTCGAAGCTGAAGAAAATGAAGTCGAATTTGAAGAATCATCCATTAATCCAGCTTCACTTTGATCATCTCCATCTCAATCTCTTTCCACTGGTCCCAATCCAACCGAACAACACCTTGACAATCTCCTTGCGAGGATTTATATGTCTCTATCTGAAACTATTTGTCTCTTCCTAAAATTTGAATTTGTTGCGGGTTAGAGTCTGCTGAGAGAAGACTATTGATCATGTATTCACAATGTAAATGCTAAAGAAATCAGATATGCTTCGTAGAGGCCAGGTTTACAGTCTTTTATTTTGCTGATTGGTGTGATTTCTATTGTTTGGGAAGCTAATATGGCTAAGTCTCACCCTAAGCTCAATGAGTGAATACTTTCTTCCATGTCGAGGAGAATTGTTTATGCTCACCCCTGGCATGATGTAGAGATAGGTACAAGACTACCCTTACGGGTTTATTTTGAGTCACTTTTAGTTATGGTGAATTTGTGCCTGGAAAAATATATTGTATTTTGTTTGTTTTCTCCTCAGCATATAGAAGAAACTATTGTGTTATTCAATAAATCATTATCTTTAACATCAATAAACATATATAGATGTAGTATCGTTTTGGTGAAAACTCATAAATGGTGATATAAATGCAGAATGAAGTTGTTGTTGTCGATTTGAATGTTAGGTGAATGAAATATTTTGTATTTTGTAACATTTTCTTAGAAAAGTAAAATAGTGTCAAAGAATCACCAAACAGAACCACCTTAAACACAAAGTTGTAACTGGTATATCATTATCCAATCCCCAAATGTCCCAAACAAGCTGATGGATTTACCATCCATTGTGACAATGTGTATTTGAAACCCGAAACTTTTGTTCTCAATCAATTCCAAGCCCGTACTTTAAAAATTCTTAAACAATATCCAATTTTATATCTCCTCACCATGTAATTTCATAAATGAATCATTTTCTTACATGTTTGAAATGTGTTTTTCATTTATAAAAAATGACAATTTGCAAATGAATATAATTTTATTCTGAATTATGTTGACTAGCTATTAACTTTCTTTGGTTGTGTCTTTGAAGGTTAGTTGGAATTTGGATACACTTGGAGATTTTGTGATAATGAGGAGTAATGGTCAGCGAGTTTATAATAAATACATTACGCCAAAACAGTTTTTAGGCAGCGCACGTTAGACAACGCTTCTATATCAAAGCATTGTTATATGTCACGATAAAATTTTAAATTTGAAATTATATATATTAGACAACGCTTTGGAAAAAATGTTGCCTAAATTTAAGAAAAAGCGCTGCCTAAGTCACACGTTAGGCAACACTTAATGAAAGCGTTGTCTAAGGTCAATTAAAATTGAAAAAAATAAATAAATTCTAGAAGCGCTGCCTAAACTCAAACCGCTGCTATAAGCCCAACAGTAGAAAACATTGTCATAGGCCCAAAGCGCTGCTAAAGGCTTACTTTAGAAAGCGCTGCTATAGCCTTAAAAGAAATTTGAGAAAAAGCGCTGCTAAAAACCTATTTTAGAAAGCGCTTTTAAGAAGCGCTACTTAAGGCCATACATACCCACAAATCGCTGCTAAAGGATGTGTTTAGAAAGCGCATCATATAAGCACTGCTATAGGACATACATCATAAAACGCTTTTTAATGAGAAAGCGCTGTTAAAGGTAATACATCAGAAAGCCCTTTCTACAAAGCGCTGCCTAAGATCATTAATGTCTTATTTCTAAATTAAAAAAACGAAAACCCTAAAACTCAAAGGTTTTCATTATTCTCTCAAAATAGATTTCTCAGCAACGCGATTTCGAACATTCTCTCAAATTTCTCTGCAACCACGATTTCTCCAACAACGATTTCTCCAATGATTCTTCAACGTGATTTCTCCAACAACGATTCATAACACATGAACGCGATTTATCTATAAGTTCTGTTTTCTTTTCTGTGATTCATCTTTGTTTTCATATATTGTAGTTGTTGTTGTTGAAATCGTGAGAATCGCGATTCAAAGAGTTTGTTGTTATTTTAATGCATCTATTTTCATATATTGATGTAAGTTCTTCAACGCGATTTTGTTTTCATATATTGTTGTAGTTGTTTTCATATATCAAGAAGCAAAGACTATTTTAACAAGTTAAGACTAGTTCAAGCACTTGGAGTAGCACTTTTGTTAGGGCTACTTTGGTTGAAATCTTCAACCAACACAGAAGCTCAACTTAGATACCAGGTACTTTGGTCGAAATCTTCATCCAACTCAGTGTAAAATCAAATTATTTTAGTATAAATTATAAGTTATACTACTTGATAAAAGAAAGAAAAGAGAACTTAGACATAAGAATGTGTTTAAGTTATTTTAATGCATCATCATCATTTCTTATGTCTAAGTTATTTTAATGCATCTATTTTCTTTGGTTGATATAAAATATCAACTTTTTCATTATGTAAAAGGTTCCTTTGTTTTCTGAAGTTGAAAAAATATTTTCTAAAAAATGATGTTGGTTTTGTTTTTCTTTTGTTATTAGGCCAGAGATAAAGTTGTGAGTTGTGATATTCAATAGCTTGGCTTTCTAAAAGATCAGCATCTCAGATTAGGAGTTTACAAAGTGAGGTTCATGAATATATTACAAGATACACTCAAAACCCGTTTTGTTTTAAACATGTTTGAAATGGAATTAGTGAACATAATTGTTTATGTGTAATTGTTGCCCGATTTCATAGCCGCTTTCACAATTTCCAATTTCTCTTGTGAAGAGTGAAATAATAATAAATTATTGACAAATAATTCTTCAGATCTTCTTTCAGACCATCTATTATAATTTACATACAAGCATCGAAATAAATCCATATAGTTAAGTTGAAACATAAAACATATGATTATTTATAATTTTTTTATCTATTAAACTTTGTCTCGTCCTTGCAAAGATATACACACTAATTAATTAATTAATTAATTAATTGTTGGGGTTTTTTATTTTATTTATTGAAACTTTTTTTAATTGATTAATAAATTTGAAGAAAATGTTATGTCAATCGTGAAAAGAGGAAAGTAAAAACGATGGGGTGTTTTTTAATTTTAAAGATTTTAATGAATTATTAATTATTATTAATATTATTAATTAGTGGGAGTTGTTTAAGATTTTAATGAATTAATTGGTATTTTTTATTATTATTATTATATTAGTGGGATTTGTGTTTTTTTCCAACGTGAATGGAGTGTTTTTTATTTATTTTTTAAGACCTAAATAAATTATAAGTTTATTATTATTATTGTATTGGTGGATATTACTATTTATTTTTAAGGTTTTAATGAATTACTAATTAATTAATTGTGTTAGATTTTTGAGGGAGTTTTGGAGTTAAATTTTAAAAAAGAACTTGTAGG